TTTTTTTATACTAATAGCGTCGACTACAAGACTTAAGTAGCGATTGCCTTAAGCAAGGTCTAACTTTTAAGTAATTACTCTTAAGAAATCCTTTATAGCGAGAGAACCGATAATATCTTGCAATTCGAGCTTTAAAGCGATAGCCTTAGAGTGCACGAGCTTTTAATTTCGAATCTATTGCTAAGGTTCAATAGTCCTCGCAGCTCTTTCGTTAAGAATTCGGCGGTACTCGTTTCGTATATATTCTTTCGTCGATTCGTCGTCTTTCGCGTATTAATCTCGTAAAGACTTTACTAGCGTTTGGAATGAAAACTCCTCCTTTTTAATTAAACGAGTCTTATAAGGTTGCAACAGCTCTTTTAGGACCGTCTGATTTACCTACTCTAGTATATATTAGTATTTAAAGTTTAAAGCGCTTTAGCGCGCCTTTTTCTTAAAGTATTTTTTCGACCGGTATACAAACTCCTCTTTAACGTCTTAGAAACTCGCACTCTTTAGCATTAAGCGGTCCTTACGAGTAGCTAAAAGCGCTTCTTCTTACTCTTTTATAAGATTATCTTTCCGCTCGTTCTTTTTAACGATCAAGTCGTTAATCGTAAGTAGTGCTAGCGGTTCTAAGAAAGAGATATGAAGCTAGGTTTCTTTCGAATAAAGGTCTGCAAGCTTTTAAACGCTTTTCATTATCGCAACGGCTTTGTAGTCGATAAACTAATCGATTTATAACGCTCGGTCCGTAAGGTGTTAAGCGCTTTAAAGTGATATGTCGTGAAATAGCTCGAAGTAAAGTGTAAAATAAAGTAAAAAATGAGGTTTGAAAAGCTTTTATTAGACGCTCCGAGCGTTAGAAAGGAGAACAGCTTCTACCGACCGAAAAAAAAGAAGACGATAATTTTGCAACTATCGAGGTAGTTTATACTGTATTGATGATAATTAAAAAGGAGCTCGTAGAAGCGTATGGCTCTTAACTATGATGATAGAAGGCGTATACTTAAGTAGGTAGAGCAGATCAAGGTCTAAGAGATAGCGATAAAAGTGTCTAGTTTATTTAAAGGAGCACGAGAGCAATTGTAGATATATACATGTGTGGTACGTGGCCTTTAAAGAGCTTAGCAAGCACGTGCAAAGGAGCACGTGCTAGGCCACGTAAGGAGCACGTGAGGCAAGGACCATACTGTGCAACAAATCTTTTTATATTCTATCAAGCGGCTAGACTTAGCAATTCGTATTTAATCTTATCGGTATTTGCTTTAATTTTAGCTCGCTAATACTTTTTTTTATTAAAAGAAAAGTAAACGTAAAGAGCCTTGATTAAATAAAGATTAAAAGTTATAATATTAGTTCAATTTATTAAAAGCATAATAAAATGAATTCTTACTTAATTCGTTTTAAAACCGTGCTTACTAAGTCTTAAGCTATTAATTTAAAGAAAGCTTTTCTACTCTTTAAATTAACAGCTCGGCACTTTATTAACAAAGACCGCGCTACACTTTGCTAGTAGCGACGAAATTGCTAAACGGTTATTATATAGCGTAACTTTATATTATTAACAAAATATAAATATTTAAATGAAATAAAAGCTTACTTATGCGTGCTAACGTGCTAATTGCCGAGTGACTTTCTTTATTTCTTTATCGGTAATCGAGACGTATTTATCGCGAGGTATATCATTATTTTCTTTTTCGTCTTTTCGCAAATTAAATTCTTTATAAACCTTTTCGTTTGAATTGAATACTTTATTAACTTAATCGCTATTCAAGTATTTTTTATTATTAAATCTAGCTGTAAAAGAAGCGGCTTGCATAGCAAGATTATTCGCGTAGATGCTTCGATTCTTTTTAAAATCGATTAACAAATTGCTTAATAAATTAAAAAAAAGAAAAAGTACCGTTCATTTATAAGATTTTTTCGCATTTCGGCTTATCGAGTTTTCTTTTCAGCTTCTAATGCTTAAGAATATTCTAAGGTTTGTTTTTAAATTGCAAAAAGCTGATTAATAGCCGCTTGATCTCGTCTTTTAGCTTTTCGAAGCTTATCTGCTTAAAGATCTTGTTTTAACTTTGCTATACGAGCATTAGCTTTTATCGTATAAAGATTAGTTAATAATTAGCTTCTCTTTAGCTTTCTTTTTTAAGAAAAATTAATAAATTAATAAAAGTTAAAATACTACGTAAAAAAAATACTTACTTTGCGCTTGCTAAAGTTTTTTAGCACCGGATTGCTTGCCGCTACGATTGCCATCGTATCGGCCGCATTTTAAAAAAGACGTTTTTGATTAGTAAATAAATTAATAAATAAAAAAATGATTTTTATTATAGATTTTTCAATTTCTTTTATTAAATCAAGCTGATTTGTATTTGCAATAATACTTTCTATCGAATCAAGCTGATAAGCGGCTATATTGAATAGTATTATAAAAAAGCCAAACGTTAAGAGTAATTGTTTAAAGTAAAATCAAAAGTAATAAAATAAAAGTATTAAGATTAAAAGTGAACTTGTACATTTTCTTTCTAAAACATCTTAGCGCGGCCGCTAGTGAATTTACGAATTGATAAAGCAGCTGTAATTAAAATAAAGCGGCCGCAGCTAAAATAAAGCGGCCGCTTCGCGCAATTTTTACTTTACAAAGTAAAGTCTGATTTCTTTTTATTATTACTTAATAATCGATTACAATTATCGCTTTTTTATTTGCTACGCTTTTGAATACAACGCTATTTATTGCTTTATAAAGTCGTCCTTTTTTTATTTAAAATTATCAACTTATTGATCGTAAACTAGATTATCGCGATCAAGTCTTTTTATTAATACTTTTAAATAGCCTCTTTACTAAACGAACCTTTGCTTTCGGACCGACCTTCTTCTACCGATATATTAAGCATTACGGCTAAAAGAGATAACGCTGTTGATTTATAATCATTACTTTGCCTAGAATATTCTAAGTTGTTGATTTGTAATCAGCACTTCTAGAACTTTCTAAGCGAAGTCAAGTGACCTACCAGAACCTTCAGGAACATTCTACTTGATTTTGATTTGTAATACTATTACGTATTCTATGAGTCATATAAAAGGCTCTAGAACTACCTAATAATCTATATAAGACCTTGAAAGGTCTCTTGTATTTACTTCAAGCAAGCAAGCAAAAAGCAATTTGGACTCGTCTTTTCTTTACCTCAATTCCTCATTCAATTTTCACATGGTAGCAATTCAATTTCGACACCTTAGGCATCAAATTCTCGCTTAGCACAAATCTCTCAACCTTAAGCATCAAATTCTCGCTTAACACAAAACCTTTTCGCTAACTCTTCAAGAACCTTCGACGAAATTGTTTAGCGAAACCTTAAGCAACCTTACGCCAAAACCTTTAATTCTGCTAAGCTCGAGGCGGAATAACGTCTTTCCGGTCGATTATAAAAGCGAGCCTTATAAGCTATAAGCTTTCGCCTTTTTTGTTCTAGCTTTCGCGAGAGAAAAGCTAGTATTTTGCTTAAAAGTAAGCTATACTCCTTTGGGCCTTACTAACCAATTAAGATTTGTACCCAATCATTGAGGCCCGAGTCCCTGACACTAAGTACTAGCGAAAGCATAAGCTAGTACCTCTAGAAGTAATAGGAGAGCAAATTGCGGTCCTAAACTACGGTTTAAGCACTATTACCTAGTTTCTCATACCAAGGTGCCCAAACCTACGCGGCAATATAGGTATTGAACCTCTTATTGTGGCTAGCGGTAAGGAGTGGCTATTGGACTGATCTTAATTCATACTAGCTTATTGATTTTCGGCTATATCGCTATTAAAAAGCCATCCTCGGAGAGGGAATAACGATTAGTCCGAAAATCAATAATACTAAGCGAGCTGAAATTAGTAGTTTGATTGATTTATAAACGAGTTTTCTAAGAAAACTGAAAACCTCTTTTATAAATCTAATTGAGCGAAAACTTCGGTAATAATAATAACTTCCGGCGAAGAGTTTTATTACTGCACTAGGCCAAAAGTTCTATTCTCTATTATAAGACTAGTTTGCAGGCTAGTTAATAGAAGAATATATATATAAATATATATATATATATATATAAATATATATATATTAATAGAATATATTTCTATTAAAAA